CTCAGTATTATGGCGTAGTTATCTAAGTCTCTTTGTAGGTCTCTAAGAACTTGTTTTATGAATCTGTGTGCTCCAATGATAATTGCATATATAGTTTGGATAGTTGTCTTCTTGTTTAATTGAACCGTTTATCATTGTGTAATGTCTTTCTTTGTCCTTTTTTATCATTGATGATTTAATGTCTGTTTTCTCTAAAATAAAAATAGCAGCCCCTGTTATTTTTTGTTTTCCATTTGCTTAATGTTTCTCCATTCCTTTTCTTTGAGCCTATGGGATGAGCACAGGCATCATCATTGCATGTGAGATGGGTCTCTTGAAAAAACAGCATGCAATGGGTTATGCATCTTTATCCAACTTGCCACTATATGTCATTTAAGTGGGGCATTTAGTCTGTATATGTTCAAGGTCAATATTGATATGTGAGAATTTAATCCTGTCATCATGTGGGTAGCTACTTGTTATGTGCACTTGATTGTATACTTGCTTTACAGTGTCATTGGGCTATGAACTTAAGTGTGTTTTTGTGGTGGCAAGTACTGGTTTTTCATTTCCATGTTTAGCACTCCGTTAAGAAACTCTTGTAAGGCAGGTCTGATGGTAAGAAATTCCCTTAGCATTTACTTGTCTGAAAAGGATTTAATTTCTCCTTTGCTTATAAAACTTAGTTTACCTAGATATGAAATTCTTGGTTGGATTTTTTTTTTTTTCAAGGATGTTGAATATAGTTCCCTAGTCTCTTCTGGCATACAAGGTTTCTGCTAAAATGTCCACTGTTAACCTGATGGGCTTCCCTTTGTAGGTGACCTGCTCCTTCTCTCTAGCTGTCTTTATGAGTTTTTCTTTCATGTGGACATTGGATAATCTCATGACTATGTGTCTTGAGAATGGTTGTTTTGTATACTAGTTTGTAGGGGTTGTCTGCATTTCCTAAGTTTGCATGTCGTGTGTGTGCATGCTGGCGAGACAGTGGGCAGAGGCTATAAGTGAATGTGCACCTGTGGGGGTACATCTGCAAAAGTGCTCCCATGGGAAGGTGAGACCACTAGCAAGCATTTCACCTGGACAGCTGAGGCTGTGCTGCAAATGGGTGTGGCCAGGCAGGGATCCTGGGAGAGGCTGGCAGACAGGGCTGTTCAGATCAGACAGGCCTCACTCTATGCAAAAGACAGCCCTACCCTCTCCATGTCTGGATGCTAATAAAGGCTAAGGCCACCTAGAGGAGTATGGTGAGCCTTGGGGAATGGATACCCATGGCCATGCTCCACTGTAGCTGTTCCCATGATAAACCCTCTGCTTTCCACAGACTAGCGTTCTGTCTCTGGCAACTCTCCAGGTAGTTCTCCCTGCCAATTCAAATGTCTTGAAGGGGTCTTGGGGATTTCTGCAGCTAGATCTCTAAGATCTGTGACAAGAGTGGGCCACTCCACACCTGTTTCACTCACCTTTTCCCTAGGAGCCGCTAGGTGCCAGGAGTGAGTCCTGGTGCTTGGCAACTCCATGCAGAGTTCCCAGTTTCCTCCTTTTTCAGACTTAAGGTTTGCATCCTCCCCATGTCCACTCTCAATGTCTTCTTTCTGAATATCTGTTCAGCATGTGCCAGTCTACTTGATGGTGGTCTCTCTTGGTGGGAGAAGGTCTCCTGGCTGTACCTAGTCAGCCATCTTGGCTACTCTAGTTTTTAAAAAGTGTCTTAAGGACATAAAAAGTTACTACATATTTATTTTTATTTTATTTTGAGACAGTCTCGCTGTGTCACCGAGGCTAGAGTGTGTAGGTGCGATCTCAGCTCACTGGAACCTCTGCCTCCTGGGTTCAAGTGATCCTCCCACCTCAGCCTCCTGAGTAGCTAGAATTATAGGCATGTGTCATGATGCCCAGCTAATTTTTGTGGTTTTAGAAGAGATAGAGTTTCACCATATTGGCCAGGCTGGTGTTGAACTCCTGACCTCAAGTGATCTGCCTGCCCTAAAGTCTGGAATTACAGGCATGATCCACCACAACCAGCTGATATTTGTTAAATTAAAAATAACTTTTTTTTTTTGAGATGGAGTCTCACTCTGTCACCCAGGCTGGAGTGCAGTGGCGTGATCTCAGCTCACAGCAACCTCTACCTCCTGGGTTCAAGTGATTCTCCTGCCTTAGCCTCCTGAGTAGCTGGGATTACAGACATGTACCACCACACCTGGCTAATTTTTGGATTTTTAGTAGAGATGAGGTTTCACCATATTGGTCAGGCTGGTCTTGAACTCCTGACCTTGTGATTTGCCCACCTTGGCCTCCCAAAGTGCTGGTATTACAAGTGTGAGCCACTGCGCCCAGCCAAAAATAACATTTTAAGTTCTTAGGCCTCTGTGAGGCCTGCACAAGCTTGAAGAGGCCTTTATAGCCACAGTAGAGGAGGGTGAGGGATCAAATGATCACTGGTTTCTTTCACACTTCAACAAGCTTTTGTTTTGTTTTGTTTTTTGAGATAGAGTCTCACTCTATGACCCATGCTGGAGTGCAGTGGCATGATCAAGGCTCATTGTAGTCTTGACCCTCTGGACTCAGGCAATCCTCCTGCCTCAGCCTCCCTAGAGGTGGGACTACAGGCATGTGTCACCACGCCTGGCTAATTTTTGTGTTTTTGGTAGAGGCCAGGTTTCGCCGTGTTAGCCAGGCTAGTCTCAAATTCCTTGCCTCAAGTGATCTGTCTACTTCGGCCCCCCAAATGCTGGGATTGCAGACATGAGCCACCGCGCCTGGCCTCAACAAGCTTTTATGCCACTTCCCCAGCATTTGCTTTGTCCACTCCTTAAGTGAGCTAAGCTATGGAGTTCTGCAGTCTGTTCCATTAGCAATTTCTAAATACGTAACAAATTATGATTAACTGTGGTTATGCAGCAGATCTGTAAACCTTATTCCTCCGGTCTAATTGAAACTTTACACCATTTGTCCAACACTTTCCCATTCCCTCCTGCCACTCAGCTGCAGCCTCTGGTAACTGCCCTACTCTCTACCTATGTGAGTTTGACTTTTTTAGATTCCACATATAAGTGAGATCATATAGTGTAGTCTGAGTATCCCTTGTCCAAAATGCTTGGGACTAGAAGTGTTTCCAATTTTGGATTTTGGAATATTTGCATATACTTAATGAGATATCTTAGGAATGGGGCCCAAGTCTAAAACAGAATTTATGTTTCATTCAGGTTATTTGCATAACCTGAAGGTAATTTTATACAATATTTTAAATAACTTTGTGCATGAAACAAAGTTTGTGTACACTGAACCATCAGAAAGTAAGTGTCAGGTGTGGAATTTTCCACTTGTGGCTCTCACAAAGTTTTGGATTTTGAAACATTTTGAATTTGGGATTTTCAGATTAGATTAGAGATGTTCAACCTATATTTGTCTTTTTGTACCTGGCTTATTTCACTTAATATAATGTCTTCCACTTAATATAATGTTAATCCGCAGTCTTGCAAATGACAGAATGATAAAATTTTCTTTTCTTTTAAAGCTAAATAATGCTACATTTGTATATGTGTGCTACTTTTTAAAAAAATCCATTCATCCATTAATAGACATTTAGGTTGTTTCCTAAGGCGTGGCTATTGTGACTAATGCCTCAATGAATGTGGTAGTACAAATATCTCTTTGACATACTGGTTGCAGTTCCTTTGGCTATACATCCAGAAATGGGATTGCTGGATTATATAGTAGTTCAATTTTCAGTTTTTGAGGGACCTCGGCTACAGCTTAATTTTCTTAAAACAAGCAAAAAAAATCACTTTATAATTAGTTGATTGGCATAATTTTATAATTTGTGAGACTGCAGGCCAGAGCCTTTGAAAAAAAGATTAACTGAAAAATACAGAAACATTTTTTTTTACCCTGGAAAATGATCCATGTGTTTCTATAAAAATATAACTTCACTGGACCTTACAAGTTTTCCTTTGTCTTATATCGCTCTTCCATTTGCTATATAAGTATTTTTTAAGGAATTGGGTCTTCAAATAATTCCTCTCTTTAAAATTTCTGCTTAATTCTCTTTTAATCTGCTTTATGGTTATTCAAAGCCAATTTAGAAGCTTTTTCATCCTCTATTTACTGGAACGAAGTTACATTCTGAAGTGGGAGTATTTTGTAAATGAGTTGAAGTTTAAGGGTGTAAATATCATTGGCATTTTAGTTGGATGGGATTATAGGACTGACTTTTAAAATGGTTGTATCTATATTTACCACAAGGTGGTACCAGATACCCACTTGTTATCAGGAACTGAAGCACTTCTGTAAGAACATTTTCATTATACTATTATTATTATTATTATTATTATTCTTTTGAGACTTGCTTTTTCCCCCAGTCTGGAGTGCATTGGTGCGATCTCGGCTCACAGCAACCACCGCCTCCTGGGTTCCAGCAATTCTCCTACCTCAACCTCCCAAGTAGCTGGGATTACAAGCACCCACTACCATGCACAGCTGATTTTCATATTTTTAGTTGAGATGGGGTTTCACCATGATGGCCAGGCTAGTCTTGAACTCCTGACCTCAGCTGATCCACCCACCTTGGCCTCCCAAAGTGCTAGGCTTATAGGAGAGAGCCACTGCACTCAGCCTCATTAGCTCCTTAAATTAGACAACATTTAAAGCCCCTTGAAGAAAAGTATGCTAATACATTCATAGTATTTTTTTGTGCTTGTGAAGGCTCATATGTAAAATGCTTAATTATAAGTAGGTGCCTAACTTAAGGGTTCCTTTTTATTTTTTAACTTGTTTTTGTGTGTTTTTAAAAATTTCTTTTTTGGTCCTTTTTTGAAAAATCATTTATTATGATAGCTTTATGCTTATTTCTACTTTGTTTTCATACAAGTTCTTCATTATTTCTGCTCTTATAGGTCATTTCTGTATCTGATTTCATTTGCTTATGTCTAAAAGTTTTTATGTTTCTTCAAATTACTATCATCGTGACTTGGGAAGACCTATTTTATTGTTTCTTTTTTCCTTTATAATCTTTGAAGTTGAAGAAATACTTGAACAAGCAGACTACCTGTATGAAAGCGGAGAAACAGAAAAACTTTATCAGTTGCTAGCCCAGTACAAGGAAAGGTAAGCAAATGTATGATAGGTCTTGGCTTGTGGTTTTCTCTAAATTTTTGTTATTTAACAATTAAAATGACCCTTGGTGCTTGAGGTTTTAAAAATAGATTATTGTAGTTTTTACTTCAAAATATTTCTTGAGTTTATAATATACTATTTGTTTCTTACATTAAATGTTGCATGTATCTCACTGATTTAGAAAAGATAGTTCTACTTAGTCTAGTGGAATGTTCAAAATTTCTTTTGGCCGGGCGCAGTGGCTCACACCTATAATCCCAGCACTTTGGGAGGCCGAGGCGGGTGGATCATGAGGTCAAGAGATCGAGACCATCCTGGTCAATAAGGTGAAACCCCATCTCTACTAAAAATACAAAATTTAGTGGGGCATGGTGGTAAGCGCCTGTAGTCCTGGCTACTAGGGAGGCTGAGGCAGGAGAATTGCTTGAACCCAGGAGGCGGAGGTTGCGGTGAGCCGAGATCATGCCATTGCACTCCAGTCTGGGTAACAACAGCAAAACTCTGTCTCAAAAAAAAAATTTTTTTTGTTTAATTTTTCCATTTTGCTTTAGATCATACAGTATAGTTATTGAATATATGTTTACTCCTTCTAGCTATATTGTGTATTTCTCATTCCTTTTAAAGCAGTTTTTTATTGGTATAGATTAAATGAATTCACCAAGAGTTAGCATAATTGTATGCCCCTATTGAATGGTAACTGCGTATCACTTCAGAAGTATAGTCTTTCAGAGAAACCAAAAATACCCCTTTTTCTATTTTTTGTATTAGATTGTATGTTTAGTGTAGAATATCAGCATGCACTCATTTTTGGGAGGAGTGTGGAGTGAGAGAAAGACTCAACCCTATAAAGTAAGTCATATGGCCACATAGCATTTCTAGATCACTAATCTACCTCATCTGCTAAACTAGAAATATTGAGTCATTTTCATCTGCCTTTTTTAGATTTTTGAAACAGTTTTCACCCCAGGACTCATCAATTTTACTTTCTAGATATCTACAGGATTGATCTTTTCTTATCATTCTCCCCTCAGTAATTCAAGGTGGCTGGTTTGGCATTTTATTGTCATTTCAGTGATAACTTGAAAAATAATACTCCATATTCATTGAATAATAACTACCTTAACTAAATTAACCTTCAGCTTCAAATTTTCATTTTTTGTTAAAAGGCAAACATTTAATAAAAAGTTATTTAATTTTTATAATTATTTCTGTCAGTTGTGGTGGTTAATCCTTTATTAACCATTTCTTATATAATTATATGGAAATGGTAGTTCTTCAAAGCATCAACTGCTCTTAACTTGAAATAACCCATGCATCATGGCATGGTATTCAAACATAGGATTTATTTTGAGATTACATTATATTCAACCATTCATTCATTAGCATATAATTGTCATATACCTGTTGGGTGTCAGAAGCTGTATTTGGGACTAGGGATTCAGCAGTTTTGTATTTTTAGAGCATGACCCTGTCTATAAAATTTATGTATTTTATGAAACTGTATGAACTACTCAGTGAGCTATTTGAAACACAGTGCCAGTAAGGCCAAGCCTCAGGTTAATATGTTGAGTTTTGTAGGGCAAGTGTTCAAAGAATTCAAATACAAAGATATCTTTGAAGGAAGTCAGTATTTTAGATACTAGAAGTAAGTTAATACTTATGAATATTAGACATTTTTAATAGGAAATTTTAGCAAGTGTTTTATTTGAAAGAAAATAATACATTTAGGATTATTAATAATGGCTTTTGATACTGTGTTGCTAGCTTCCTAAGCTGAAAGACCATAATGGATTTATTAGTAATGTAACCCTTAATTTTTAAATATGAGCTAAAATGGTTGTTTTATATTTTATTTCAAATTAGTGAAGATGCAGAGTTACTGTGGCGTTTGGCACGGGCATCACGTGATGTAGCTCAGCTTAGCAGAACTTCAGAAGAGGAGAAAAAGCTATTGGTGTATGAAGCCCTAGAGTATGCAAAAAGAGCACTAGAAAAAAATGAATCAAATTTTGCAGCTCATAAGGTGAGTTGCTTAACTAGGCTATTACCATGTACTAAGAGGTACATTATTTTATAATTTTCTATTATCCCTAATTTACATAGGAAGAACAATATCTCTATCTTAAGGTTTTCTTTTTAATTCAGTCTTATATCTTAGGGATATTTTCTCTATTTTAAAGAAGTAGGAAATATATTTCTTTTTATAAGTTTTTCAAAGAAAAGTCTGTTTTCTTAAACCTTTCGTCTAACTTCATTTGTATTTGATAAATTACTTTTGTGAATGCTTATTTTTAAACAGAAGTTTAGCAATTTCATGAATTACCTATATCTATATTCTTAGTAGTATAAGTGCTTCACAAATATTTTTTCATTTTCCTCATGTTATATTTCTGTTTTATTTAGAGGTAGGAATATAGCAGCTGGGCAACTGAGGCCTAGAATGACTTCACATGTAACTCTGCTGCTTTCAGGATTTCTTATTGGTTCAGAACGTTTTTCAGTAAATTGTATGAGGAGACAAGGAGGTGGTGGTCATTAGCCTTCTGGATTAGGACATTTCTTTTTTTGTGTGTGTGCAGGCTGGAGTGCAGTGTTGCAATCTTAGCTCACTGTGGCCTCAATCTCTTGGGCTCAGCCTCCTAAGTAGCTAGGACTATAGTATGTGCCACCACCACCCTCAGCTAATTTTTTGGATTTTTAGTAGAGTCAAGGTCTTGCCCTGTTTCTGGTACTCAGGCTTGTCTTGAACTCTGGAGCTCAAGCAGTCTTCCTGCCTTGGCCTCCCAAATTGTTGGGATTAGAGGTTTGAGCCTGGCCAAGGATTAGCCCTTTTTTTTTTTTAAATCATGTTTATCTGTCTCCAGTAGAGCTCCAAGTCATATGACAACCAAATTCTATACCAGTATATTTCCAAATGTTCCTTTTAGGAGTTGGTACCCCCCCACCCCAAAAAATTCTACTTATAAAGGATAAAATAGGTACACATTATTTTAAATATTTACTGAGACTTGTTTTATGGCTCTGAAAATGGTTCATCTTTGTAATTATGTATTCAACTATTGTTAGGACTGTCTTATGCCATTCAGGTCAAGTTGGTTGATAGTACTGTTTGAGTCTTCTAAATCCTTACTGATTTTTGCCCACTTGTTCTATAAATTACTGAGAGAGGAGTAGTAAAATCCTCCATTATAATTGTAGATTTGTTCATTTCTTTTTGCAGTTCTATTAGTTTTGACAGCATATATTTTGAAGTGCTATTATTAAGAATATAACATTTAGGATTATATTTTATTGATTAATTGACCTCTTATCATTGTAAAATGATCTTCATTACCTCTACAAATATTCTTGGTTTTTTGTTTGTTTGTTTGTTTGTTTGAGACAGAGTCTTTCTCTGACACCCAGGGTGGAGTGCAGTGGTGCAGTCTTGGCTCACTGCAACCTCTGCCTCTTGTGTTCAAGCTATTTCTCCTACTTCAGGCTCTGGAGTAGCTGGGATTACAGGTGCACACCACCACGCCCAGCTAATTTTTGTATTTTTAGTAGAGATGGGGTTTCACCACGTTGGCCAGGTTGGTCTCGAACTTCTGACCTCGTGATCTGCCCGCCTCGGCCTCCCAAAGTGCTGGGATTACAGGGTGGCTAACCATTTAGTATATTTACAATGTTGTATAACCAACACCTCTGTCTAATTGCAAAACATTGTCATCATCCCTAAGAGAATACCCTGTTTCTGTTAAGCAGTCACTTTCCACTCCCTCTTAGCTCAAACTCTGGCAAACATGAATCTCTTGTCTATGGCTTTATATATTCTAGGTATTTCATATGAGTGGAATCATATTATAAGAAATTGTTGGACTTCATGGAACCCAAAGGCAGGGTGCAGTTGGGGCTTGGGAGAAAATTGGCTTGATTGCTCCAAGGCTTCCTTAATTGTCTCTCCACTCTGCTGTTACCTGAATATCTTTTTCATTGCAGACTTAATTTTTTCTCCTTATCCTAAATCTTGGAACTTTCCACAGCACCTGAGTTTATGAAGCGTGGCTATTTTAGATTCATTTCTTGGGGAAGAAACTTGGGTCATTTCAGTTTGGGTCTGCTGTCCAACAGTGGCTGTGGAGACAAGGTCAAAATTGACACTGTGGCAGTTCTTACTGTAACAGTGCAATGTGGGAGGAGATGAGACTCCGAGAAAAGAGAATGAGAACATAAAACAACGTTCAATTACATATTTTTCTAAGTTGATACTCAGACCGTAAACATGAACCATTATCTCACCGTGTCAGTAACTTTCTTAGAAAATTGACCACTTTCTACCGTGTTATAGTTCTCTATAAACATGTCCTGTCCCTGAGGGTTTTTTTTTTTTTTACTCACTCTGTCACTCAGGCTGGAGTACAGTGGCGTGATCTCGGCTCAGTGCAACCTCCACCTCCTGGATTCAAGTGATTCTCCTGCCTCAGCCTCCCGAGTAGCTGGGATTACAGGCGCATGCCACCATGCCCAGCTAATTTTTTTGTACTTTTAGTAGAGATGAGGTTTCACCATGTTGGCCAGGGTCTTGAACTCCTGACCTCAGGTGATCCATCTGCCTCGGCCTCCCAAAGTGCTGGGATTACAGGTGTGAGCCACTGGGCCCAATTTATCCCTGAGTTTCTAGAGAGCCATGTCTGCTTTTCTTTATATATTCCATTATTAAATGTAAATAATAAATATATACTTATTATATATTCCATTACATTTATAAATTACATTTAATACAGTTTTTATGCTCAATAACTTTTTGGTGGATAAGAATGACTGTTGAATAAATATTATACAGTTTTACCTTGTATTGAATGGAATATTAAGAATATTATTGTTCTTACATTTTTTTTTTTTAATTTTCAGTGGTATGCAATCTGCCTTAGTGATGTTGGAGATTATGAAGGCATCAAGGTTAAAATTGCAAATGCTTACATTATCAAGGAGCATTTTGAGGTACTGATGAATTATTAAAATTCATGAATTTTAAAAGTCAAATTTTTCCGTATAGATTTTTATTTTCATTATCTATTGTTATATTTCAAACCACCTATGATAACGGTGGAGTACAGCCATGACAGTTTGTTCCTTCTTTCTTTTTTCTGAGATGGAGTTTCGCTCTTGTCTCCCAGGCTAAAGTGCAATGGCACAATCTTGGCTGCCTGCATCCTGCCTCAGCCTCCTTAGTAGCTGGGATTACAGGCACCCGCCACCACTCCCGGCTAATTTTTGTATTTTTAGTAGAGACGGGGTTTCACCGTTTGGCCGAGCTGGTCTCAAACTCCTGACCTCAGGTGATCCACTCACCTTGGCCTCCCAAAGTGCCAGGATTATAGGCATGAGCCACTGTGCCTGGCCAACAGTTTGTCATTACAATTCTGTGGGTTAACTGAGCACAATGGTGCTTCTACATTGCTTGGTGTAGCTGAGGTCATTTAGGCAGCTTCATTCAACTGGGCACGCAGCTGAGGCTACAATGTTCAAGAAGTCCTCTCACCTATGAGAGTTTCTCCTCACTTGTTTTTTATCACTCAGTGGCCTAGCTCAACTTCATTATAGCATGGTAGTTAGCTACCAAGAATGAGCGTTCCATAGGCAAAGATCCAATGTGCAAACTTTTAGCAAGCCTCTGCTTGCATCATACTTGGTAATATCCTGTTAATTTAAACCAGTCACAAGGACAAGCTCAATTTCTGTGGGAGGGGACCAGTGACACAAGTTTCTGAATATGGAAAGCGAAGCGTGGTCTAGTGTAACAGTCTTTAACACAATTGACACACCGCTCCTTGTAGTAATAATTCTGTTTAACATTGATAGCTGTGTATGTATCACATGTATGTTTTATTAAAAATATTTTCCTGTAAAGTTAATTATAGTAAGCCGTTAGGTGCTAAGAATTCCATAGGAATCTGTATATTTCTTAACATGTATGAACGTCATTGTCTCAAAAAAAAAAAAAGTCACAAAAACCCAGCATATTTTTCTTTTGAAATTACAGGAAGAAAAATAATGGGAACATGCATAGGGATAGTCCAGAATGTGCTATTTAAATAGCTTTTCATAATTTTATGGTTTAGTGTCAATTCCTAGTTAATATAACAACTAGTGAAAAAGAACGCCTGGGAGTCAAGAGGTCTAGTTTTTCTTGTTGAAGCATGGATAGTAATATATACATAATAATTGACATTTTATAATGTAACATACCTGTTTTACAGTTTAAAATCCTTGAAATCAGATTACATGATATAATTACTGGAACCTTACACTGTAATTGGCAGTGATACTTTAATTCTTAGTGGCACATAAACTAATGGTGTGTCATTTTTGATAGTTTAGATTCAGGGAAATACAGTAATTTTCTCAGTGGCATAAGGTAAATCGTTTAATTTCTCTGTGCCTCAGGATGTAGAAATATATGACATAACTTCCAAAGTGAATAATGAAAAACTATAGAAAATATACAACTGTATATTTTTCATTTAAAAAAAAAACAGTGAAGCCTATAGGTTGTAAAAAAAAATGTTTTATATAAGGTTTCAAATGTACAGTTTAAATGGCAATATTTAGTATTTATGTATTAAAAAGATTATACTATTTTTATTTTGAATTTCATCATATATCTAAAGTGGTAAGGAATTACCATTTTTGAATTATTTTTGAAAGATCAATGACAGGAAGGATTATAAAAGAGATTGCTGGAAAGTACCCCCTTTCAACCCATCCCATAAGAAAACTAAAGCTCTGGCCCAGCTGCCCCACTTGTTGAACATATTAGATCAACCTTGATTTTTTTTTTAAAAATATCCCTCTCCAACTAAGACACTGTTTCCTGGAAATAAAGCCCTACTCTACAAAAAAGATGAAGATGGCTTAGGGGAAAAGATCTGTTCTCCAAGAAGCTAAAAAACAGGAATTACCAAAGAAAACACCTTCTTGGCCTGACAGAGACCATTGGTGGGACTGGCAAGAATCTGAATTTGCAATCTGCATCAACTGGGTCTTAGGTCTTCTCCTTGATTCCTCTGTGTCTTTCAAATGACTTTCAAAATAAAACCTTATTTTGGCAAAGGCACAAAAAAAAAAAAGAACAGAAAATTAAACTCTAAGGCCCCAAGGCATCCATTGCGATGAATTAACTTCCTTCCTATGCATCTAAAATGATATGGCAGTATTTCTGTATCATTCTTAGTAAAATGGAAAAAATAGTTACTTATATAATTTTTTGTAGGGCTTAATTTTTAGTGGAACTCCAACTGGGAAAGGTTGCTTAAAACAGCATATAAACACATTAAAATACTTGTTAAACTTTTACCACAACCTTATGAGTTAAGTAAGTATATGACTTTTCTATAAAAAAGAGAAAACTTAGTTGTGGCAAAAATATAGATTTTACAACCCATTCAAAGTCATTGAGCTGTGACTTCAATCCTGGCAGTCTGGCTTCAGAGACTACGCTCTTACAACCATTGTAAACATTTGAAAATGTAAACCTCACACATTACTAAACTGAAAGTGGAAATGTGGGTTTATAGAAAAGCAAAAACTAGAAATCTTAATTTTTTTAAAAAAGAGTCTTTTAATATGATCAACATTAATCTGTAAGTTGTCTTCAGTGGTTTTCAATGAAATAATGGATAAAAGGAGGAACAGTTTCTTTGAAGTTATTCTTAGTTTATGCTTTACACTAATTCATATAGTAAGTAGAAATTAGGAAGATTCTTTTAAGATATTATACATAATTATTCTATTAATATTCTTTTTTTCTTTCTTGAGATGGATTTTTGCTCTTGTTGCCCAGGCTGGAGTGCAATGGCATGATCTTGGCTCACTGCAACCTCCACCTCCTGGGTTCAAGCAATTCTCCTGCCTCAGCCTCCCAAGTAGCTGGGATTACAGCCATGCACCACCATGCCTGGCTCATTTTGTATTTTTAGTAGAGATGGGGTTTCTCCATGTTGGTCAGGCTGGTCTCGAACTCCCGACCTCAGGTGATCCGCCTGCCTCGGCCTCCCAAAGTGCTGGGATTACAGGCATGAGCCACTGTGCCTGGCCTTCTATTAGTATTCTATGAAGTGTTTTTTTTTTTTTCCTTTGGTAAGTACAGATGAGGAAGTTGAATAAAATCTACATAAAGAAGACTTTCTAAAAATGGAAAGAAAAGACTTCCAAAAAAGAAGAGACTTATTAAAATTAGTTATTTTCTGAAAACTAAAATGCACGTTTAGTTCGTCTTTAGGAAAGAATGACTTTTATTCAGTATTCATCTACAGTTTGCCAAGAAAGTACTTTGTTATTCATTTTTCTTTTAATCTGGAAGATACATTAAGAACTACAGATTAATTTGCAAAATTAATTCATGTATTTCATGTTTTTTCTCATCTTGACATTTACTATAAATGTCTGAACCTTATGAAATAGTAACGTTAATACTAGTCATTAATAGTGTATTGAAATGAATTTAATCAAACAATCAGAAGGAAGAAAGTTGGTATTAATTAGAAAAATTGAAACAGGATTGCAATTTTTAAAAAATCACAGCTTTTTCAGCAAACACTGTTAAGCACTTATTGGTGTTTAGAAAACAAATACAATTATTTGTTTTTCTCATTTTTTGTTAGAAAGCAATTGACCTGAACCCTAAAGATGCTACTTCAATTCACCTTATGGGTATTTGGTAAGAAAATTTCTTTAAATTAATATTTCATTAGTAGTTAGTGTGATATTATTTTGTAGGATATATAAATATCTTCTTTTGCATATATAAAGATATTAAATATTTTAACATATTAGCTGACAGAATTTAGAGTGTCAAATCCATTAACTAGCACTGTAAATATATTGCTAGAATACACTAAATTTGATTGTGCCTATGTTAAACATTGTTATTCAAGTCATTTAGAAACATGTACAGACTGAAAGGACTATACTTACCATCCTAAATGAAATTAGATAAGTGTAACTACAGTAATATAGTAGAATGCCCCAAGAGGGTCTTTGTATCTTCAAAGTGTGTCAGAGTCTTGATTAATCTGAGGAACTATATAATCTGATTTTCAGTATCTTTCTATTTTTATGTGATTTTATGTCTACTGTAGATTATTATTTGCTGGTATGAGGGTTTATCAATACCAGCAAAGTGTTATGTACTTGATGATTTAAGAGTCTATTTTGAGATAGATAGGCCACTGTTTTGAGTATAGTCTGCAAAGCTAAATATTTACTGCAATCTAAGAAAGGTACCAGTGTAAACTGTCCTGTATCAAACTCTTATAAAAGAGAAATAAATACATTCTTCAGGTAAAGGATATATTAAACTAACACTCACTCACTGAGGATCAGTGATAATTGAGGGGCAGCCACTAAGTCAGGTGCTAGTAAGCAAACTCAAATGAAATAGCAATTTCTGCTTTAAGGACTTTAGACCCTAGTAAAAGATCCAACACTTTTTTTCCTGCTTATTTCTGAAAGTTGTAAAGATCTTTGGAGGTTAGTCATTTGCCTTGCCCCTTTAAAAATGGACTTAAGTTGGTTGCCGTTACTTATAAATTTAATGTTTAGTTTTGTAATTTTTCTTGGGTAAGGTTTTTTAACTTGAGTTTTTCTTATATAAAAAATAGGGTAAATGATCCTATCTCATATATAATTGTTAAAAGGAGTAAGTGACAGAATAATCAGCCTAGTACCTGGCACACTGCACTCAGTGGTAGATGTAACATTATATTACTGTTATTAGTATGACTGCTTATTATTATATTAATCACAAAATACACCCCCCAGCAAATGGATAAGTATTTCAGTCTCTAGATTACCTAGTCGCTATCATGTAAAGTACAAGCTGTTTAACATAGATTAGAAGATTCCTTTTATAATATTAAGATGCTTAGTTACCTTTAAGAGAAAAGAAGGTACAATTTGAATGTATAAAATTGTTTTATTTCTCTGTAGGTGCTATACATTTGCTGAAATGCCTTGGTATCAAAGAAGAATTGCTGAAATGCTGTTTGCATCTCCTCCTAGTTCCACCTATGAGGAGGTAGTATGATGTCCTTTGTTAAGTCAGTAGCAATTTCTTAACCACAGTGCCATTCTACAGTGTTCACACATGTGGAGCTCTGATTCAGTGAGGGACTTGAGCAGTTTCTAATGATCCAATTCAACTATGTTATCACAAGGCTAAAAACTTATTATCCATGACTGGTGAGTGGTTTTCTTTTTAGGTGAGTGGCTGGTAATTCTGGAATACTGTCATCTAAAATGGCTCGTGGCTAAAATCTACCTTCATTTTCTGTTTGAAATCTAAACCATATTGAAGTCATAAAATAGAACAAGAAATACAGCAACTATTACCCAGCATGTTTTAGGTATATTATACCCAGTAACAGTCAGTTAGAAAAAGCGCATGCTAAATTAGCTGGGCATGGCAGCAGGCACCTGTAGTCCCAGCTACTCGGGAGGCTGAGGCAGGAGAATTGCTTGAACCCGGCAGGCGGAGGTTGCAGTGAGCAGAGATCGGGCCACTGCACTCCAGCCTGGCACCTGGCAATGGAGCGAGACTGTCTCAAAAAAAAAAAAAGAAAAAAAGCGCATGCTTGAGTTGATAAAAGAACACTCATTATAACTTTTATTTTAAAAAGCATATGAAAGGTTCATATTCTCTCATATTTTCAAGGCCTTTTGCTTTTCCTGTTTAAAATTTTAGAGTGATTTCTGGTTAAACTTTCAGTTTACTCATCACAAGCTTCAGAGTAAGAAAACAGGCAATCAAAAAGCTGTACTTGTATTAGTTACATTATAACAAGGAGCTTTTCTTTCTTTCTGGGAGGCAATAGTGTAGAAATTGGTGTAAAGAATACTAAGTTGTATTCTTTACACACAGTTGAGAAATATTATTATTATTATTTTTTGAGACAGAGTCTCAGTCACCCAGGCTGGAGTGCAATGGCATGATCGCAGCTCACTGCAACCTCCACCTCCCAGGTTCAAGCGATTCTCTTGCCTCAGCCTCCCAAGCAGCTAGGATTACAGGCGCGTGCCACCATGCCCAGCTAATTTTTGTATTTTAGTAGAGACAAGGTTTCAACATCTTGGCCAGGCTGGTCTCGAACTCCTGACCTCGTGATCCACCCGCCTCGGCCTCCCAAAGTGCTGGGATTACAGGAGTGAGCCACTGCACCCGGCCGAAATATTATTAAAATAATGAATTTGCTGGGCACAGTAGCTCACACCTGTAATCTCAGTACTTTGGGAGGCCGAGGCGGGTGGATCAGTTGAACCCAGGGGTTCAAGACCAGCCTGGGCAACATTGCAAAACCTCTATCAAAAAAATACAAAAATTAGCTGGGTGTGGTGGCCTGCACCTGTACTTTCAGTTACTCAGCTGGGCTGAGGGAGAAGGATCACTTGAGCCTGGGATGCCAAGGCTGCAGTAAGCAGTGATTGCACCACAGCATTCCAGCCTAGACAACAGAGTGAGACCCTGTCTTTAAAAAAACCAAAATCGGCCGAGCTTGGTGGCTCACGCCTGTAATCCAAACACTTTGGAGGCCAAGGCGGGCAGATCACCTGAGGTCAGGAGTTTTAAGACCAGCCTGACCAACATGGTGAAACCCCGTCTTAAAAAAAAAAGAAAATCATTCATTCTAAGGACAAAAAATATAGTCAGCTTTACTACGTCAAATTAGTTATGTTTCCTAGAAATCACGTCATTAGAGCTTGCATTACAAAAACAGTAGCTTAAGTAGGACAAAAAGAAATTAGAGAGTTTCAGACTCACAATAACATATGTAGGAATTTCAATAATAATGGACTCTTAAAAATTCACTAGTATAACCTGAATAAATTCAGCTTTTGATTATTACATTTAGTTTTTACTAAAAGTCACTTGTTATAATTTAAGAGAACTGTCAAAATAGCAGAGTTACACGTGATAATGTTCTTTCCTTTCAGCACTTGATGTTACTTTGGTACAAGTTCTAAACAGCAACCAAGTTATTGAAGTGGTCCATTTATTATTATCTTAATGATGATTTAAGTGTTACAATCAGTTTGGGTGTTAGCTCTCACTGTTGAAGAACTGACCATTATTTTAAGATGATTTACTTCCTGATTTAAATTTAATATAGGAATAGATCTTTGAGACAATGGTTTTAAAATAACATCTGTTTTAATCTTTTTCATTATGTTTGGGCTCTTTGTGTTTTTGACAGGCCTTAGTCTACTTTCACAGGGCAGAACAAGGTAAGATATTTTTTGTTACAGATATTAATATAGTTAAAATTGTATGAATGCCGAATATATACTATAATAGCAATTTCTAAAGGAAAGATATTTATTCTGTTATACTTTTTTTTTGGTGCCAGATATTGTAAAACAATTTTTAAAGTCTTTATTCAGTAAAGATATACTGAATGAGAAATAGGCTGCTACTGAACTGCAGTTTAGAGCTGCAGTTCTGGAATGTCCTTCATTTGATGTAATTCAGCCTGCCTTTGTGAAAGGAGTCTCTGACATGGTAATTGTCTAATTCAAGACTATACATATTGGCCAGATGTGGTGGCTCACACCTGTAATCTCAGCACTTTGGGAGCCTAAGGCAGGAGAATCACTTACGTCTAGGAGTTTGAGACCAGCCTGGGCAACACAGCAAGACCTCATCTCTGCCAAAAAATAAAAATTAGCCAGGTGTGGTAGCATACACCTGTAATCCCAGCTATTCAGAAGGCTCAGGCAGGAAGATCACTTGAGACCAGGAGGTCCAGGCTACAGTGAGCTTTGATTACGCCACTGCACTATAGCCTGGGCCACAGAGTGAGACTTGTCTGAAAAAAAGAAAAGATTATGCATCTCATTAGAGACATTTAGTAGGAATTCTGCTATTTAGTCAGGCTTGTTCTATTGCAGATATGGTGAAAAAGAGTTTCAGGTTATGCTTGTTTTGAAAAAATGACTAGTCCTATAAAACTGTCACCAGCCATCCTAAATTTATCCTTTTTAATATTGATACACTAAGTGGTGCGGATAAGAGACATAAGTATATGTTACCAAATAGACCATAAAAACATTTGAATATATTCTATAAAACTTAGAAGAAAATTAAGAAGATACCATGTTTATCAAATTTGAGATCCTACACATGATGGACTTGTTCAGATGCTTTTATGGTAAGTTTTTAAAAAAATATATCCTCTACAGAATTTTATCAGTGTTACATATCTCTGTAATTTATCAATTATGATTTATTCATTATTACCTTCTATTGATGCCCTATTGTAATCATACGGTTTTACACATCATGAATATCAATCTAGGAATGACCTTTTTATTTTTAAAAGGGTTAATTACAAAGTAAAAATAAAGGACCTTAGAGACTTAAGGGTTGGGGGTGTTGAGAAAAACATGGTCCTGCCCTCATGAAGCTAAAATAATCCTTGGTCACTTCAGTCATTCTTCAGTGATCTGACCTTATTTCTTTCTGTTCAATATTTAGTTCAGAAACACCTCCTATGACTTTAGTATCTTTTATTTTTCCAATGAGACTTAACACTCAATACTATGAATATTTACATGTCTAAGACTGTAAATTCAGAGAAGATGGGGACTTTGTCTTTTTGGCTCACAATTGCACCCTCATCACTTGGCACAATGCTTGGCAAATTTGTTGAATGACTTGCGTAAATAGATGAATGATTGGATGAATGAATATATGAACATATTTAACCCCAGGACAACCTAAGTATATTAACATAGCATCACACAAATCTGCCCAAATAAAAGAAGTAAAACAACTTAGGTAAGGAGCAAATGGAGTTAATCATTAATTGTATACAGGAAAAAGTATGCCTTGAATACAGAGGATATCTGATTGTTAGGAGGAAACTGACAATCTGTCAGTGTGAAGCATTAAGTGGGTGAGATAGTTCCATGCTTTCATTCATGGTCTCCATTGTTTTGTTTTTGTTTTTGGTTTCTCATAGCACTTCAAAGTTTGTATATCTAGTAAAGCATTCCTATATTACATTTAGTTGTGTTCATGTTTCTCCTTTTCTTTATAAAGTTGAAAACAGCAGAGGTTTTGTTTCATTCTCTATGTTTAAGTATAGCTGACATCCAGTAAATGTTGATCAAATGTGTAGATATCGTCATCATGATTTCATCCACTTATTCAGCAGATACATATTGAATGTATGTTATGTTCCACACACTGTTGAAGGTACTTGGGGTACAGTAGGAAACTAAAGAGATTAAAAAGAATATCACTATCCTCAAATAGCATACATTCTATCAGGAGCTTCAGCTTCTCATCTATAAAATGGAGATATCCACATATAAAATTGTGAAAATGAGAAATGTGTATAATACAGTAATACAGTGCCTGGCACATTTGTAGCTATTCATTAAATGGTAATTATTATTTTATAAATATTTGTTTGAGATATAAACAGTTGAACAAAAAAGAATTCCCATTAGTCTCATCACTTATTGACCACACAAATTTATTCAAATTTAGACCCCAGAAGCAAACCTTTAAAAATAATAAAAATAAAAGCAACACTCTTTCATCTGAGATAATTTTTTCTTTCCTATATGCAGTGGACCCAAACTTCTACAGCAAAAACTTATTTCTCTTAGGAAAGACATACTTGAAACTACACAACAAAAAGCTTGCTGCTCTCTGGCTAACGAAAGCCAGGGACTATCCAGCACACACAGAAGAGGATAAACAGGTAAGACATCTCCCATAAAGTAAGGCAGAAAGGTTTTGAGGCACTATTAAATGATGAATTAAGAACTTCTTTAAAAGTATAATTTAATTTTCTAAATGCATAATATTGCTGAAAACAAGTGTGTTCAAGTGTAAATTCATTGGCATTTATATTTCTACATAGGAAATGTTCAGTTAGTATAATCAAGCAGATGTTATGGGTTGCCTGCTATAATACAGAATTATTCCTATTTGACACATGGCAGATTAAGATTTCTAAAACATTAAAGTGTGTACTCAACTGGAAGAGCTGAGAGTCTCATCTGGTCACTGTCAAGAAATTTTATTGTTATAATGTCTTATCTGGTTTTTGGAAACTCTAAGAAACTTAAATTTATAACATGCATTTTTCCATTTTAGATACAGACAGAAGCTGCTCAGTTGCTTACAAGTTTCAGTGACAAGAATTGAGAACTTTTCAGAGAAGATGTATGAAATAGCTAATAAACACTGCCTTTTCGTTGAATTATAAAGTTCACATATGAAGCATAACTGTTCTGTGGCTTTTGAAATGTTGTGACCATTTAACAGTGTAAATATAAAAAATTCTAGGTTTCTTCACAAATAATAAGGTAAGAGAAATAATTGCTATAAGAGTGGTAGAAATAAATCTCCATGGCTCAGGCAGAGATATTATTTTGCATCCTGGATACCAGCAATGCAAAATAGTATGAGATTTCTAAGGATTGATCACATGGGGATGGGAAATCAAGCAAAGAAAGCTTTGTAGAGGAGGAGAAATGGATCTATAGGGGATATATAGGCGGATGGATTTTCAAGTTGGGCTGATTCTAAGTTGAGATCTTGCAGAGAAGTTGTGGTGAAAGAGTTAGGATGTTGTGGCTTCTTGGCATAAAGTAGTAAAATGATATAAAAATATATGTAATTGGAGCTAACCTGTATAAAGAAAGAACTAAGTCAGGAGAGGATTGAAAATGGAATGGTTTTCTTTTTCCTTTTTATTTTTTTAAGACAGAGTCTCACTCTATCACCCAGGCTGGAGTTCGGCGGTGCAATCTCAGCCCACTACAGCCTCTGCCTCACAGGTTCAAGTGATTCTCCTGCCTTAGCCTCCTGAGTGGCTGGGATTATAGGGTTGCCCCACCAGACCTGGCTAACTTTTATATTTTTGGTTCAGATGGGGTTTTGCCATGTTGGCCAGGCTGGTCTCGAAATCTTGGCCTCAAGTGATCCACCTACCTCAGCCTCCCAAAGTGCTGGGATTATAGGCATGAGCCACTGCGCCCAGCCAGTTTCCTTTTTTAAATATAGTGCAGTCTCGTGGTAAATTGAATTTGTTATCAAAGTCAAAGTTCCGTTCCCTAATGGAATGGAAGGAACACAAAACTTAAGAGTGAAATGGAATACTAAGATGTTTTAAAAAGGCAGGACTGTTCTACTCACTGGAGGCTGGAGTGGCACCACTGCAGATCTTTAAGTTTTGTAAAAAGGAGTATCTTGAATGCCACTTAGATAAAGAGAGACTGTGTGTGTAGGTGGATTTTTCCCAAAGTATTTGGGAATTGTAATGTTACAATGAACTGTATGGGTATGTACCATTTATCATGTACATTTTCAAACAAAAATGAAAACTGAGAATAGTGATTCTTGTACACCCATCTCTTAAGATTCAACAGTTTTGCTGTACAGGTTGTGTATCCCTTATCTGAAATCCTTGGACTAGAAGCACTTTGGATTTGGGATTTTTTTCAAAGTTTGGATCATCTGCATACACACAATAAGATATCTTAGAGGTGGTGGGACCCAAGTTTAAACAGGAAATTCACTTGTTTCATATACACCTTATGCATATAGCCTGAAGGTAACCTTAGACAATATTATTTTTAATAACTTTGTGCATTGAGACAAAGTTTGTATACACTGAACCATCAAAAAGCAAAGGTGGTGTTATCTCAGCCACCCATGTGGGCAATTTGTGGTTGTTTGATGTCACCATCATTCCTGTGCTACCAATAAGCATTTTCTTATGCTTATTCATGCGTAAATACTTGACAGTTAAAAAAAAAATGACATACCTTGCATGGGAACAAGGATGGTTAAAAGAAAATATGACATAGCATTGATACAGTGAAAAAATAATGTGGTCAGGGTAGCTAAGCAACAGTAGCATCACCAGAAACCTGCATCAACTGTTAAACGGCAACGACAAACAATGGCAGGCTCTCAGTCTCCACTTAAGATGCTCTATTTTATCTTTGTAGGTGAGGAGAAACAGAAGCAGTTGAAGGGTCAGGAAGTGGGTCTTTCTAGGGATGTGGTGGCATTTTGCTGGGTGGCTTTTTAAAATGTTTTTTTTTTCTTTAGGGAGACAGAATAAACGGTTGTGCGCCTCTGTTTTGACTGACCTGTTACATCAGGTCAGATGTGGAATTTTCTACTTGTAGCATCATTTTTTGGCACTCAGAAAGTTTTGGATTATGGAGCATGAATTTCAGATTTTTGGATTCAGGGATGTTTAACCTATATTTATATATACATGTGTGTGTCTCTGTGTGTCTAGACACATACGTTACTAAACCATTTGAAATTCAATGCAGGCATCATAGTAGTTCACCCCTAAATGTTTCAGCATGCATTTTCTCAGAATAAAGACATCTTCCTAAATAAAAAACATTATCACAACTAGAAAAGTTAACAATAATCTAACATCATCTAATATCTATCCATATTCACATTTTCTCAAATGTCTCAAAATGTCTCACGCTTTTTAAAATCAGGATCCAGAGATTGTGCATTACATTTGATTTGTTGCTAATCTTTCAATCTAGAAGAGTTCCCCATCTTTTTCTTCTTGAACATTGACTTTTTGAAGAGGCCAGTCCAGTTGTCATAGATCTCTCTCGTTCAAGATTGGCCTAATTGACCATACTTTGAGAACTGCTGTTCCATCTTATTTCCAGGACTCAAATTAGTTCTATTAGATCTTTGCCTGACTTTCATATTTATCACTTACCAATTTTTCTTTTAGACTTTTTTTTTCATTTTCTTGGCTCTTTTCATTTATATTTTCCATGTCCCATATTTTACCTTTGGTTGAATCTATTCTTTCTTAAATACTTTATAATTGTCTTCACTTCTGAGATGTGTTTATCTCTTTTTCCAAATTTTACTCCTGATTATACCCAGTCATTCATGTCTGCATTTTGTTTGTCCAGTTCTGAGTTTTTAAGTTGCTATTTTGGATTTTTTCATATCTTTAATTATTAAATTCACATATTGTGTTAAAGTTTACTCTCTTCTTTCTCATTTTCAATTTTCTCTTTAGAGTGACTTTATTTTTTCTCCCCTAGGAATGTAATTTTATGTTGAGTTACCAACAATATTAGGTCATCAAATGGGAAGAGGGAAAGGATCTGGGTTAGTTCAAGAATACTTTTTGCTAAGTTTTTATTTTTGTGAGATCAGATAACAATGATAAAGCTTTTTATGGAGATGAGGTTTTACCTCCTGATTCCTTAGGAGAACTTTAAAAAAATGTATTTTTACTTTCAAATAATTATAGATTCACAAATTTGAAAAAATAAATCAGAAGTTCTGATTACCTTTCTGTCAGCCTGTCCCACCGCTAAGATCTTATTTAACCATAGTACAATAGCAAAACCCGGAAACTGACATTGATACAGGCCACAGACCTTATTTAGATTTTACTTTTAAATGCTCTCAACTTGCATGTATAATTGTATGCAATTCTATCACATATAGATTTTTGGTAACTTGCCACCATAATCAAGATACAGACCTGCTCCATCATCTCAAAGATCCCTAGTGCTCTTCCTTTACAGTCACACCCATCCACCTCCTCTCCCCCACCATCCCTAACTCTAGCATAATCTCTTCTCCATAATTTTGTTATTTCAACAACTTTATACAAATGGAATCAGTCATACAGTGAGACCCTGTGATATTCTTTTTTCACTCAGCATAATTCCCTTGAGACCTAAATTCTATCAATAGTTTGTTCCTTTTTAGAGTTGACTAGTATTTCATTGTATGGGCATACCATATCATCCATACACAGAGGGGCATTTAGGTTATTCCTGATAACTGGCTATTACAAATAAAGCTGCTATAGGCATTATATGCAGGTTTGTCTACTTGTTTTATCTTTCTGGGATACATGCCCAGGAGTGTGGCTACTGGGTCCTTTTATCTTCATTTTTTCCCCTTTACTCTCTGAGGGTAGGTTTCTTCTCCAAGACATGGTGCCTTCCCAAGATTCTGATTCTGTGCACTAAGTCTCTTCCATTTGACTTCCCAGGAGCCTGATTCCCCACATGTCACATTGGTTCTTGACATTTCCCCTCTAAGGGTGAGACCCACTACTGAGAATGAACCCCAGGAATCCCTTACATTCTCCTTCCTGTACAGTCCCCACCTGATTCTGTTTTTGTGTGCATTCCCGAGCTGACTGCTGGCTTGAGATGCTTATTTTCCTACATGCATGTATATAGAAGTTGACAATGCTGTCTTCTAAGCCTATTACGTAAGTAGGCGATATCTCTCCCTTATAGAGGTTCCTTCCTTTCTTTTGAGCATATGAAAAGAATGCTGAATTTGGAAAGTGGCCATGATCCTATAAGAACCTAAAAGCTCTCATTTTCTTGATGGCAAAGTTAACTGAGTTTTTAATTAGAGGATGTGTACTGGCTGTGGATGTTGTAAAAATGACTTCTTTCATACTTTCCTCATCTATAAAATAAGCATCATTAAAGAAATAACCCACCAATTTCATGGAGTTGTAAGGAATAAGAGAATAATTTATGTAACGGATTTACCATGAGATAACTTCTGTTACCTCTGATTTTGTTCTTGGTTGAGAATTGAGGAGAGAAATTTTGGAATTTAGGGGATGTCAGTTTTGGATTTAGATCAAATCCCCAGTTGACCTAAAGTTTGGCTTTTAAGGTTAACTAATTAAGTGTTACAGGAGAATTGTAGTTTGTGTTATTTCAAAAAAGGAAGATTTTACGTCTGCAACATCCACCAAGTCTTTTTAGGTTCAACCAAACAAACATTCAGACTTAACAAGCCTACAGTAGGCTATATTTGGCACCACTTTACTCAGAAGGCTATAGGACAGGAAAAGCAGCTCGCCAGCAGGGCAATTTTGAACCTCCTTTCAGAAGACGGTTTCCTAATAGCAGTCTATGCAACGGTATCTCCTAGGAGATGAAAGTTTCCTAGGACTGTCATCTCCCCAGGTAACAGCTCAGGGTACTCTTTAAAGGGCATCCAGTGTAGAAGTTTTCCACTCAGGTATGCCCAAAGCTATGGCTTTCTATCATGTATCTGGAGATTTCCCAGTCCAGATAAAACTTACCAGTCAGCGGTCGTGTTTACCAGAAGCAAAGTTGCCTGGCAATACAGTTGACACGTACCATCCTCCTATTTAGTTTTCAGGATAGGAAGAGCTAGATAACAGAAGTCATCAGGGGAGAAGATTTTAACCTTTTCATTTTCAACTACGTGGGAAGTATAGAGGGAAAAAAACCCCAAAACACGGGTAAGCTACTTTCCCTGGAAGACAAACAATTAAACTGATCTAATAGAATGGTGTTGGGCCTGTAATCCATTCCCTGGGCCATTTACTGGTGGTGGGGGCAGGGGAGCCACCCAAATGAAGTAGCAATATAAACCTGTCTCTGAGCCTCCCTCTCTTGTCTGTTTCCTCATGAACTGTGTTTTGGTCACAGAGAATCTTGCACTTTTAATTTCTTTCTGGTTGATCCAGCACAGAAGGGAGAAAGTAGAGAAAGTGAAGGGAGAAAAGGGAAAGGAGAAAATAGAGAAGGTGAGCGCGGGACCATTATTTCTACAGTTTTTCTGACTGCTACTAGATAGATAAATCAAGACAGCTCTGCCTGTATATAGGTCTTGGATATCTATAATTGGGTGTGAAAACTGGATGACCCTGATGAATTATGAATTCTCCAAAATAAAGCTGGTTTGGTCTCTTGTAAAGCTCTGTGTAGCCTCACCTGGTGAATCTTAATTTCTTGAGGAGGGAGACCAGTACCCTGAAAACCAACTGGAATGCCATCTTCTTCAGTCAAATCTGCTAAATCATACCTCCAGTGAATGACAGTCAATAACTTCTGTCATAGCAAAATTTATACAGCAGTGGTACCATTTGTAATTCTAATACTTAATTGTTTATGGTATAATTAAGGCAGTCCTTTTTTAAGACCAGTTAACTCTCTATCACATAAGCTGTCTTATACCTTAGAATTTTTTTTTAATTTTTTAGGCTTGAAAATAACCAGAGTGTCTGCAATTAGGATTTGGAAAAGGAGTCTATTCACCAAGCAGATTACTGCCTTTCTTTCACCTTTACTATGAATTCTGAATAAAATACAGAACACACTCTTGATTAATATGTAGAAAAATAAAATTTTGGCAAAACAACACTGTTTATGGAAGGTAACATGTATACTAGTTTTTTTCTGTATATACTTAGCAGTGATATATTTATAGGCAACACATTCTAAGAAGTCAGTTCCATGGCTATAAAAAATGTTTAAGTTAATGAAATTTACAGTGCATATTAAAAGTGTGATACAAATGGAAATTTAAAGTTTTGTATTAGGAAGCCCAGTTTGCTAAAAATGGCACTAATATCATTAACATCAGATTTTAATTTGTTACACATTATTCTAACTCAGCAAAGGCCTTATGATGAAAAACAATGAAAAAGTGTTACTTAGGACAAAAATAATTATCTATATAAAAAGGGGGAGACCCAAAAGATTTTTATATGCTTATTTAATTCAGATAAATAGAGCTGTTACGAATTTGAGAGGAATGAAGATATTCAAACACTAACAGAAAATCATTAGCCTCATATTTGTTAGAGCATTCAAATGTTTATGTAACTCTTCAATCCATCTGGCTTTATAAAACCAAAACTTTGAACACAAAAAAAGTGGCAGAGTTCAAATTACCTTTTATGTGTTCCTAAGTATGAAATTGCATCAATTTATTATGAATTAAATTTTGAAGAACACAGATTTTAAAACAAAGTACAAAAGTGCCTGATTCTTTTTAATTCCACAAATACCTAGCATCCCAAAATAACATGTAAACAGACTTCTATGCTGCTCAATGAATCCTTCCAATTTCGGTAATAAACTAAATAGTATTGGATCTAGTATATGAGTTTCATGTGTAAGTTACGGTTTTATCCGTTGCTTTTACAATATTACTGATGTAATAGGGAAAAATTTTCAACTATTGTATTTATTTAAAACAATCTGACAGGTTCAAGCACCTATCTTCAGAAAAGCCAGCAGCATTTTTTTTAAAAACATATTCAAAGTAAGATTTGGCCTAAGCCC